AGACAGGCCTGAGGACCGCAGATTAAAAGTCACCCACCTTTGGCTTGGTAGCATCTCTCTCTCTATGTTGATGTTACTGTTGTTAAGTGCCATCGAGTCACAGGCGACTCATAGCGACCCTATGTATCGGGCTGACTAAAAGGCTGACTGCTCAAATCCATCATCTCCTTAAAATGGACAGCCTCAAAAAACAGGCTGAAGGGTCTTCACAAGTTGAAATTAACAGCAATATTTGTTGTTTGATGACACCTAACAACACACACTGTCTTATGTACATGCCAGAAAACAAATGTTATTAGGTTCCATAAATTGTAAGGAATTTCTGACATATATGTTTTATCTAGAAAGTCAAATGAATCTTCTTCCTGATGGGTTTTTTGTTTATTACATTCTCCAGCAGAGTTCAAAATAGTGCCTTGCATATTTTCAATTCTCAACACGTGTTTGTAGACTGAGTGAATAAATGAAAGCTTGCTTACATTTGCAATGAATAATTGCTGTCCTTATTTTCCTTGTGTAAAACGAGAACAAAAGAATACGTGTGTATATAATATACAAATAGATTCATGACTAGGCTTCAAAATGTATTATCCAATCTCTTTTTTCCATGGTTCATTGGCAAGGAGACACCTTTCATTAAACGCCAAGGGTAGGATGATATGAATGTTCCGGTTTTGTTAACTCTTAGGAGCTGAGAGAGATCTCAAACTGGGGGAAAATGGCAAGAAATGTCAAGAGGAAAGGGTGGTGTTTTTGTAGTAAAGTATGAAATAAAGAACAATTATTTTTTAACGCTAATTATCTGGACATTTATCTCAACAAATCTTTGTTTTTCTCTGTGACTTTAAGTTTCTGCAATTTTCTAATGAAATGGAGTGTATTTAAAAATATTGTTGTTTTAGGATATACAGAATTTTTAAGGTAAAATGTAAGGCAAATGTAATTAAATATATAGGCAATATATTTTATAGAGTCAATATCTAAGGGGAACTCATTAAAGAGTCTTTAAATATATGAAATTTTTACATAATACCATTTTCTCCCTGCTACTGGAGTTTTCTGTTAAAAAAGACATCTTAAAAAGTAGAAATTTACTCTTTTTCAAGGTGTTTTTTAAATTTATTTTGCCAATAGTTCCTAAAATAAAACATTTTTAAGAATATAAATCGCTAAATTTCAAAATGGACTGCAAACATTTCCTAAATTTAAAGGCTTTTTAAATTTTCCAAATGGTTATCATTAGGACAATTAGATGATTAGACAATTAGAGAAGATAGTTACTGAAAGTAGATTCAAAGTACTACAATGCTCAAAACCTGATATTACAAATAGTTTTAATGTGTGTGCTGGAAAATAAAGAGCATGCACGAAATAAGTATGAATTACTTAAACTGGATCAAAACTCACCGCTCTCAAGTTGGCTTCAAACCATCATGACTCTCCACCGGGATGCTGAAGTTAGAAATCTTTGGTGGGAAGACTGTCTGTCTTCCCAAGAGCAACTGATGGATTTGAATTTCTGATCCTTCAATTAGTAGTGCAACATTCTATGCATTATGTCATGAGAACTCCTTATAGATCAAATACTATAGCCTTCAGCATGGATTACGTCTTAAAATAAGGAAATAAAAGTCCTTACAGCTAGACTTGTAGACAACATCAAGACAGATGGAGAAAAGAACGAAGTTGTCAAAGACTTCATCTTACTAGACCAACAATCAACATCAGAGGAAGGAGCAGTTAAAACAGGACTGACATTGGGGTTGAAGGAAGACAGAAAAGGGGGCAGGAATGATGTCTACTGCATTGAAACAGATGAGGGAGAGAACTGTTTAAAAGGGATATATGATTAGGTATTATTGTCATGACAGGAGTCCAGAATGAAGGTTGCACAGTGGAGTGGACTTGGGAGGAGGGACTACATAACAATGAAGAGTTTTACTTTTAAGGCAAAGAGTGAATTGGGGGGCGGGCTGGTGGGGGTAGAGAGAAAAGTGCAACACTGAATTACTGAAAACCCTATGTCTCTGTAAACTTTCATTAAAATTAAATAATAAGAAGAACAATACCAAAACATTTGCACTGGGCAAATCTATTGCCAAGGACTTCTTTAACATGCTAAAGATCGAGGATGACTAAGATATGCCTGATCCAAAAGGTGAAAGTTTCAATTGCTCCATATGCATGTGAAAACAATGAGTAAGAAATAGCAAAGGACGGATGCATTTGAAGTATGCTGTTGAAGAATGTTGAATAATCACAGACTGTCAAAACCACCGAATCAAGCAATTTTGGAAGAAATGATTCCCAAGTGCTCCTTAAAAGCAAAAGATGGTGGAGACTTCATCTCTTACATTTTGGACATGTTATCAGGATGGGTCAGACACTGAAAAAAAGACATGCTTGGAAACGCAGGTGATTAGGGAAGGAAAGACAAACCTGCAGCAAGATGGATGGACCCCTCAATGACAGCAGTGAGAGTGAGCCGAGGTCGTGAGCAGGGGTAGGGTTGGACAGGGTTTGTTCTGTTGTACGCAGGGTCACTTTGTCAGTATCTGCTCAACACCTCACACTCAGCCCAATAGTAAAACAACACTGACGGATTTCATGACATGGTGGAAAAGAGCAGTTCTCTAATTCCATCCAACAAGAATAAAACAGTAAGTTTGGGTTGAAGTGGGCAGAAAAAGAATTACAGGAGAGAACTAAGATGAGGATTCCTTATCCTCATCTTACAATGTTTTCTAGGAATTTATGGGAAAGAATAGGAAATAAAACTTTCAGAAGGGATCAAAGTGCATTTCTTCTCTTGAATTACAGAATGCATTGGATAAATCTTTTCAGGTATGACGAATTTCAGAAATTCCCAGCCAATTTACAGTCCAAACGTTTACTCAGATTTCTTCTTAAGTGGGTTGGAATACACAAAATGGATGTGTATGAACAGTCAGTAAATACATATGTCAGCACCTTCTTCACCAGCGTCCTCTCTGTGTGTGACTTCTCATTCTTTCCAGAATGAAGTTCTATGGCTTGCTGTCCTTGGAGAAGCTGTGCATGCCCAACATTTTGCAAATAATTTCAGAAAGTTCACTGAGTACATGAATCTGTTTCCTGATTATAGCTTTCCTATGAGAGTTGGACAATGACCAAGGAGGATAGAAGGAGAATTGATGCCTTTGAGCTGTGGTGCTGGAGAAGAGTATTGAGAACACCATGGACTGCTAGGAAAACAAACAGATTCATCCTGGAAAGGGTTAAACCGGGTGGCTCCTTGGAGGCAAAGATTCTGAGGCTCC